CCAGTGGACCAGAGATCCATATTTTTGTGCCAGGGCACTCTGTTCCCAGAACAACGCTAGAGCTAGATCATCAAATATTGTCATTCTAGATTCCCCTTTTATAAATGGCAAGTCCCATTAACACATTTCTTTCTTTAGACATTTTATTTCTCATTATATTTCTTTCAATGCATTGTTACATATATGTAACAATGAAAAGCCAGTCATTCCTCCCTAAAGTTCTACCCAAATGTCTGAATTGTGGGTATTTACATCCTTTGAGCTATTTTCTAAAGACTATTGATCTCATCCCATATATTTTCATTTCTTCCTAATTTCAATTTTAAAAGGTAAATTAAGTTTATTTATAGTACTTATTGTTGGCCCAGGATACTACTTACATGAATTTTTCACATCTCACTCTTTACAGATTATTCATTTCTTATTATTTCAGACAATTATCTTTTTTATAAAGTAGTCCAATTACAATCTAGTCAATATTATATAGTGTTAAGAGCCCTGAAGATAGAACTGTATTCTTGGGAAAGTTATTTAACCTCAGTTACCTCATCTAGCTCAGAATGTTGTTTGGAAGATAAAATGAGGTATTACCATTGCATATAAACTGCTTAACATGATGCCTGGCATACGTAGTTTTCCGATTACATTATTAGTCCTTAAGCTACACTTTTGTGAAGTTTTTAAAGTTAGATTTGGGTTTTTCCCAAATATTTGTTAGCAATCTACCTACAAAGTCATCAAGGAGCTAATATTTTACTAGTGGAGATTTAACCAACAATTAAATAATATTTAATATAATACTGGGTTTAGAGCTAGAGTCAAGAAGTGATCTGAGGAAAAATAAGGTAGGGTAAGGGGATAAAGAGTAATGAGCATGCTAATTTAGATAGGGTGGTCCAGGAATCCTTCCCTCAGGAGACAGAGGAACAGAGATCTGAATGAAAGGAAGGAAGAAACGAAGTGAGTGTGTCAATCATCTGGTGAATGAGTGCTTGTTATGATGCTTGTTAGCTGCACTCTTTTGGTTCTTAGTCACACATCTTTATATGGGTGGTGAACTATTTATATTCATAGGACTTAGGATGCCAAGCAGATTTTACAGTCCAGAAAGGATGTGCCTGGGCTTCCCATGTCCTCTAAATATCCTTCAACAATTATATCTTTCCAATGATTAACTTAGTACTTCTTGAACTGTCAGTTTCATGAATGAACTTAGTGTTAGAAGTATTAGAAACAGGCATTTGGAAGACCCTATCGGAGAAAACAGTTGTGGTATGGAGGAAAGAATCTTGGAGTAAAGAGAATTGGGATTGAATTCTGGCTCACCACTGGCTATGTGGACTTGCCTGTGTCCCCTAACTTTACTGAATCTGTTTCTTTATAGAATAGGGGTGATAATGTTTAATTCACATATTTGTTACAAAGGTCAAAGGAATTAATCAGTATGAAAAATCCTTGGTATGTTATAAGAAATCAGTAAAGGTTGCTTGGCTCTGAAAGCTTAGAATATCCTAAAGATAACGGGCAGAAGTTGGTTCTCTGCATAGATTTCTTAAACCTATTACACTATACTGAAAAATACAAATAAATTTATGTTAATAGAATATTACATCATGGTAACTAGAGTTAACATTGAGTGCTTACTATGTTCTAAGAACTACTGCAAGCAAGTTACATGAATTAACTCATTTCTCACAGTAACGTACAAGGTAAGTGCTATTATTGTGCCCATCTAACTCGTGACAAAAATGAGGCACAAAGAGGCTAAATAATCTGTGTATGGTCACACAGTAAATGGTAGAATTGGGATTATGAGCCAAAATAATTTGACATCAGAGTTCATGTTCTCAAATACTAAACTATGTAATTGTAATTTAAAAGATAATTTATCCTGTGAGAAGCCAACATTTTAGGTCTTTCCTAAAGGAATATCACTGTAGAAAATGACTAACAATGAAAATATACATAGATATAGATACAGATATATAAAGTAGTATAACCAAGTTTAAAAAGAGAGTGAAAAAGGTTTAAAAAAATGTTAATGTTAACTAGAGGTTGGTTTAGATTATATCTAAAGTTAATACCCAACATTAAATACTAGGGATCATTATATAAAAATATATAATTTCATATTATCAGTCTCAAAACTGACTCATTTTAAGAAAAATGGTTGCCTACTACTAATCAGAGACTCAAAAGGCATCAAATCTAAATAAAATGTCTGAAATTCCAAGGCCTGTTTTTTTTTTAAAAAAAAAGTCTTAAACAATGTAGCAGTAATATTTTGAGGGACTGATCACAGTAATATTTTTGAGAGACTGATCAGTTTGAACCATAGTTCAACAATGCCTAGCAAAACAATGACTTTGGCTATCTAGAAAACCTAAATGAGGAGGAGGGTACAGTTCAGTGGTAGAGTACTTGCCTAGCATGCACAAGGTCCTGGGTTCAATATCCCATAGCTCCATTAAAAATAAATAAATAAACCTAATTACCCTCACCCTACCAAAACAAACAAACAAAACAAAAAGGAAAGAAAACAAACAAACAAAAAAAACAAAAAAAAGGAAAGAAAACCTAAACGAAATTCCAATGACAAAATACATGATAAAAATGTGTTTTTATTATGATGTATTCTATTAAATTACTTAAAGCCTTTTTAGCATGAGTTAAATCTATGAAGACTAGTAATGTATGAGCTTCAGGAATATGTTATGTAAAGAAAAG